GTACAATGTGTTACTGAGCTTTAGCCATGAAAACATAATCTTCTTTAAATCAACTTCCAGTATACTATTTTGGTACGTGGTGTAGGTGGAGGACCTACAATTTGACTTAATCCTATCCTGGTACAAGGTGTTGGAGTGTGTTGCACACTGTGGCTTGGTGAAGGTACCCATGCGTGGGTTACAGTCTGCTCTGCCAGCTCAAAGTGTAGTAAAATAATATACACCCTCAGATGTGTCTGTCTTGCGTGTGTGTGTGTGTGTGTGTGTGTGTGTGTGTCCTGTTTCAGAAACACTAACCTCCCCCAAGGCTAAGGTAAGAAAATAGCATGTTTTGCCAAACTGAAAAGAAAGCAGCTCTCAGGTAATTGTCAGCAGCTGTGGCCATTAAGGGAGAAACATTCTTCAAAAATCGAGTGGCTAATGCTAAATAAATGCTTGGAGACAAGCTGTAAAACAGAGACCAAATCAGTATATCAGTTAATCACCCCCCACAGTTTTGCTTCTACAGTTGAATTCAAAGACTTATTTTTATATCTCAGTTGCTTCTCATACAGTAGGATTATACAGATTGGAAAGGGATCATTTTGGTATTTTTCATATGTAGCATAACAGTGTCTATAGGGAGTTTGAGCTTTTTCCCTTCCCCTCTGTCTCTGAGCAGCAGCATCCACAATGCACTGCAAATACACATTTGATGCACCTTTACCGTGGATTTATACAGCAATTTTCACTCAGCAAATTGCTTCACACAGACTCACACGGTTGGGAATCCTGTGTCTGGCACAGTGTTCAAAACCAGTGAGACCAAGGGAGAAAGGGAGAGCGAGAGAAAGAGGGAGAAGGGCAATTTGAATTGGAGTTTGGTCAATCTTCAAACGTTTTTGCAGGGTGCTTACATGGTCTGATCAAAAGCACCCCACTGGCACAGGCCCTCGTAGCCACAAGAGGAGGCCTCTGATGCCGCTGCCATGGCTTCCCTGCTGGCCAAAGCTTCCACCCGCTAATGCCTGACTAGGTGCTGCAACATTAAGTTTGTACATAGTAATACAAAAGTTCCTTTTTTTTTTTTTTTCAGGATGTGGCATCTTTGGAAAGTTGCCCCCTGTCTTGAGTTGTAAAATATTGGTATTTTATACATAATTTACTTCCTGTCACAAATATATATATATATAACAGAAAGGTCTTTAGAAATTTAGATTTCAACACCAAAACATTCAGTACTAAGTTGGTGTTAAAGAAGCCCAGTCCTGTGGCTGTAAGCTCCTGAGGTGTCTTTCCCTCTGGAGTAACCTGGTTGACGCGCTCGTTGTAGGCTATGCTAGACTATCTGTGATGTGTGTTGCATTCGATACATCATCACAGAGACGTTTGTTTAATGATATATAGCTCATTTATTCTCATTGTTGTGGAACAACGTACAAAAATCCGATTCTTTCCACCAACAGTAAATGCACCACATTAGCGTATCGCGGTCAAAACCTTTTGCCCTTCCGGGGTCAAACACCTGACAACCACAGCGATTTCAGGTCCTATATACCTGAGCCCAGGACATGAATACAGCGCCACCCAATGTACACACAAAGAAATACAGTTTTGCATATTTGCATATTCCATATTTGGCTCTAACAGTTGGTTTCAATCTGCAACCACTACTAGATGCCACCAAATCCTATAAACTGTTCTTTTAAACAATACTTGTCTGAGTTTTGAGTTATTAGAACTGTAACAAAATATAATGCTGTACACAAAAGCAAACCCATTATAGCTTGTGCCTGCAATGCTACAGAATAAAGGTGGAACTTTGGCTAAACCAAAAGAAAAAGAGAAATGCATAAATGTGAACAAATCGGTTTGGTCTCACCCACTTTGTCACAGGTATCATCTGAAAAATGGTGATTTATTCCTTACATTTGTACTACAGCTAAGACAATGAAGTCCACAGTTATGTGAAAGTGGTTTGGATTTTGAAAATTTAAAGGAAGTCCTCCTACTCAGTGACGCTTGGGGACATTTATTTCTGTCCTCAGCTCTCCAGGCCTCTTTCATAATGGCTCTGTGCGTGTCTGTCTGGTTTTGTTTGTGTAAAGGATATCATAACCCACTTGTGAATATTGTGGATATCTCACATTCAGGACGGTACATTTTTTTTCTTTTCACAAATATTAACTACACAGGCCACGGTGCCCCTGGGGTACATGTAGAATGTTTTTCAACACTCTCATTCATCTTCACCTTTTCCCCCCTTTCCTCACTTTACTCAGTTGCAGCTCCCCGACACTGGTGATAGAGACAGACCAGCTAATGGCTGTTGTGTTGAAATGGGGGACCGAGGAAGGGTCTCTGGGGCACCCAGGATTTCTTTTAGTGGATGGATTCTCCTAAAATAGAGGCACAGTGATATTGTCAGAAGGCCTTGAGGGTATGAATCCAACCTGTTAGCAGCCTCCTCACCCAGCCTGATAAATAATGCAGGCACAGGTTTAAGTACCTGAGAGAGCGGGCTAAAGACTGAAGTAAAGTGACGCTGAGGAAATGGATGTGTTGGGCCTGAGAGCTCAGGTGGTAGATTCTGTAGGCGAGTGGAATGGTAGCGTGGGAGTGAGTGAGGGAGCGTGGTAAAGAGATGGAGACAGAATTATTTTGGATTTTCCATTTACTTGCCCAAGGTTTTAATTTTCCTCTCTTTTTTTTGTGGTTGTCTCATTCGCCCACCCAGAGGTGAGCCTGCCCCTCAAGGTCCCTCACATCCAACCCACACACACATTTCTTCACTTCCTTACAATGCTGTGGGTGTGTGTTTGTATCTGCATATGTGTGTGAATGTAACAGAGTTTGCTAGATGTGTTGCTCCCATAGAAAAAAACAGCTTCTTAACGTAAAAAAGCAACTGGATGTGTGTTTGTGTGTACGAGATGGGAGAGTGTGAGGGCTTCTGGAGTGCTTGAGTATCGGTTCTGTTGATTCCATTTTCTCTGCTGGAACTATAAGCAGTTCAAGAAAATAAAAAAAAGATCCTGATAAAATGCATTTGCGGTTAAATGATAACGACTAAGTCGAAATTCCACAAAGACCCACCCTACACTGCCTCTAATTGGCTCGTACTCATTGCCTTCTTTGCAAGACTTTCTTAAGGTTATTACTATTGAAGATGAAGTGTGATGGGTGGTTGGTAGGGTTAATGAATTCAACTCAGATGAGGGTAGCAGCCTTCTTATAACGTGCTCTCATATATAACTACAATGTCCTGATTATGGCAGAAAAATGTTTTTTAAAAATGTTGCTATGCACGTTGCCTGCATGGATGGAATGAAATCACAGATCCGTTGGAGATTAACAATTTGATGAGGTATCATTATTCAACTTAATGTTAACCTTAATGTTGATATGGCACTTCATATATCAAAAAGGTTGCCGACCCCTGCTCTAGAAACAGGTGTGTGTGTGTGTGTGCGTGTGTGTGTGTGTGTGTGAGAGAGAGAGAGAGAGAGAGAGAGAGAGAGTGTGTGTGTTTCTGGCCAAATGTGAATTTAGAGGTCCCTGGACCGTTGTGAGAGACTGTGTGATAGCAATCTGATTCAGATGAACTGCAGGCGTGCAGGGGGAAGGTCGGTTTATCTTGTGATCCCTAGTGGCGGCGTGCTTGGACACATATCATAGCATTACAGACTGCTCCTACGGGTGCACACATATAAATGCACGACACCCACACAGAAACAACAGTGAACAGAGCAGCGCAGGTCTGGCCGTGCGCCGTCGACATGCTTTATGGATGAGCATATTTGCTGAGGTCTCCCTTCACACTGCAGTGTCAGTAACCAGATGAAGACTGGCAACGCCCCCACATCCTGCCTTTCTCCTCCTACATATGGTTTTCCCATATGTCTTCTTTTCCATGTTTGGTTTAGCCTGCCAAGGTCAGACGCAGGTCAGCCGTGGAAGGCTCAACCACTTTTGAGCTCTGCCCCTCAAATGTGCCGCCTGCTGTCGTGTACTGAGATAACCCTCAAGCTTTGAAGGCAAAGCTCCAGGGGCTTTGTGTGAACTTACATCACGTTTCTCCTACTTTACCATGGAGCAGTTTGACACACATACATACACAAAGGCCTGTGTGTGTGTGTGTGTGTGTGTGTGTGCACATTTGCTCACGTACCCTCCCGCCCTCCCAGTTGATCTTCTTTTGACAGACATATGACCTTGACTTTCCCCTCTGTGATATTTTATAGTGTCTAGCTGCTATTTGGTGCTGTCAGTATCTGAATAGATAGATGAATGTTTGGGTGGAGGGTAGCAGGCGGGGATGGACAGATGATAAAGCCATCAGCTTTCTTGAGTGGAGGCGGCCCTAGTGACATGTGACATCACAGAGACATATCTCACCCCCATCATCACAAAACCCACGCTGCCCCTCAAGATTTACTGGTCTGGTTATATATTTGTCCAACAAGCATCTGGTGAATAAAGAAGAAACGGGGCCCGTTTAGGTCAGGAGGGTCATGCTCCTCCAAAAAGCCATTAGAAAGCTTTTCCACTGTTTTTGAAGTTAGGTGGTCTTCGCCTCTTCAAGGCTGTACTGAGGGAATACATCACTCATCGGGAGAAAGGGGAAAGGAAAACAGAGCTCAGGTTTCACAAAGGTCTAACAATATTAGCTCATAATTCCTAACAGTTGTTGTAACCCCATCCCAAATGGAATCTCAAGGGGCTGACATTTACCTCATACCATGAAATACAAAGTTAATAAGAAAGTATTTGAATGTCAGTTAATTATATCTCTGCCATTTTTAATTATTCACACTTTCACAATCCAAACAGCCCTCATGGAGTATTTCCACCTACTCCAATCTCCAACTCGCTAAATGATAATAATAGATTGTTTTGCAAATATTATTTGACCCAACGTCTGACATCCATTTCAATCATTCTTCTTCTGTTTCCCCGCTCCTGCTGTCATGCTGGTATAAATAGCAATCATGGACCTGTTTCCGTTCTGTTTTTCTCAGATTCGTGTCGACGGGCCGCCTCACGGTGGTGTCCAGTATGAGACGATATCGGTCATCAAGGACGGCAGCCTTGTCCTGCGAGATATGGCTTTCTCCCTCGACCGCAACTACCTCTACGTCATGTCTGAGAGACAGGTAGGTGTTGGAAAAGACGCATGCATGCAAACCTCTGTTCGCTAAGTGCCCTCTTGCAGGAGAATGGAGGGTTTATGTGTGTCTCTGTGTGTGTGTGTGTGTATATATAGATATGTTTAAATGTCAGGAAAAGTGTGCGAATGTGTGTGTGCTTCAGCAGGGCCCTAAGATGGCCCACCTCTCAGCATCATGAACATCACCACCCTCTGTTAGCTATAAATAACCTGGGTGGCACAGCGGGGGACATTATGACAGCGTTTGATAATGAAGGGGAACAATGAGGGCAAGGAGAAAGAAAGAAACAAAAAGACAAGGTAGCGAGAGAGAGATGAATGGCACTTGCCGGCTGGCTCGCTGAGGCAGAGTATGAAAGGAAGAGTGATGAGGGAAAGCGGGACAGCTGCAGTAGTGTATGACTTAGAGTAAAGAGAGACACTAAGCAAAAAAAAGAGACAGAGTGCAAGGTCATCCTATCACACTTCTAATGAAGTGACACAGCATTGCGGGGCGGGTGGGAAGCAGCCGATAGCCATTAATGCAGCTGACATACTAAGTAGGCAAAAGGCGAGGGCAGGCGAGGATGGAGGGGGACACAAGGACAGAGTAGGGGCGAGGAAGGGAAGAAAAAAGGTGAACAGAGGAGGAGAAGTGATGGGAGGAGAGGAGAGGAGGAGCAGCTGCAGGGGAGCGTGGCAGCGCAGCAGCCCAAGAGACAGACGACGTGCGAGGCTGTCAGTGTGAGGTGATAGATTGCAGTCCTCTCTCCTTATCTCTGCTTTTAACACACTCAACAACTAGCTGGCTCGAGTTTACAGGTTAGGATCCGCGGTGGTCAGATGTGGTGTGAAGGAGTTATTTAGGCAATGGTGTCGATTGCTAAGAGAGGAGCAAACAGGTTCATGATAATCTACAGTTGTTTCCCCCTTAGTATCTGTGATTAACACATAGCTGTGCTGTGTGTGATTTTTTTTTTTTTTTTTTTTTCTTTTTCTTCAAACAATTTGCAAGATTTAGTCAGAAACTTTCCTGCTGTGAGAATAAAAATATAACAATGTCAAATGCAATCACATCACCAGTAATAGCTCCATACTTCAACAGGCTATCAGGCTCCGGCTGAGATCATTAGTAGGACGGATATCTGAACAAGTGGTGGTCCAAATTATTTAAAATATTAAATCTCTTGTTTCTTAACATTTATACAGTCGTCAAATCCGCTACGTCCACGCACAAACACAATACATGCACAAGTATCTTACAGCGAGATGATGACTCTGCAGCCAGGCGTCACAGATTCCACAAATAAAGACGAGTTTGTATCGAGTCTAAAGTCGGTTTCCCATATTTACTAAATCCTTTATTCCCACTTATTCCGCAGATGAAACAAGCTTTTGATGTTGAGCTCATAACTGCTAGTCATCTGACTGAGAAGTGATGTTGGCAAATATTATTAGTATTCAGCACATAGACTCCTCTGTCTTGCTCTCCGGGGGTTGGGCAGGATCGAAGCGGACACACACACACACACACACACACACACACACACACACACACAC